AGTGACTGAATCTCTCTCCATCACTGACACTTTGTCTGTATAAACAGCAGACGCACCTGCAGAAGAAACAGTTATAAACATCATACAGATTGTGAGCAGAGAAACGTATAATAGCTGTATTAAAAGTATTCGAGAGAGTTTCACATGTAGCTATTTCATATGCAAGCATGTTAGCCAATCACAGCAGTGGGCGGATACACTGAATCCCACAGCAGACACGCCCCTTCAACAGAGTGTTCAAAGCAGAGGCTAAAATCAGGCTATGGAAAAATGCCTTTTATTTCTAAATTATGACTATTTTTGATCTAAAAAAGACATACTAACATTTATAAGGGCAACCCAGGAAATATTATAAAATAATAAAATAACCCCATATCAGGGGACCTTTAAGCATTTGATCAGTTTATGCACTGATGTAAAATAATATTTACTAACAGTATATGATGCCATGAAGTAATTTCAAAGTTTCCATTTTATCGCCACTGGAATTGGTCTGGGCTGATTCTATGATTTGTTGTCACCCGATAATAATCCTTCCATCAATACACACACGATAAAGAGATTGGAACAAATTTTGTCGTACCGTGGTCGAGTAAAATCACGATCACAGAGAGCAAATTAAAGAGAAGCTTCATTTTCACCACTTTTCCCCAAAGAAAATGAATGAAGTTTCTGGTTCATATAAGCGTTCAGTTCTTCTGCAGATGGTGAAGCATTTCCTTGAGGTTAATGTGTCTGAAGCTTATAATAGAGCGATGGCATGAACGTTTTTCTAATTTGCATATGCAAAAAAGAGTTTTCACCGTGTTTTGTAATAGGCTACATCATACGCCTACTTTTATCGCAGTTTATTATTCATTTTAATAATAAAACAAGGGAAACATTAAAAAGTTTATATTTAAGTTATATGTAACAGTAATGTGAAGCAGACTTGTGGAAATAAAACACATTACATTAAATTGAGTCTAGCCTTTGACCTTTAACCCAGTTGTTCAGGAAGGCAGAACTCAGAAAAGGAAAAACTCTAAAAGAAACTTAAAGAGCATTTTGTGACATACCTGTAGTAACTACACTCTGAGTGCAATAAAAAAATGAATCATGGGTCTTTTTAGTTTTCAGTTAAGAATTAAGGTGATAATTAAAAACTGTGTATATTTTATCAAGAAAATTGTGGTTCAGTGTGGTTTCTACTCAACACTGAACCTCAATTTTATTTGTGGAAAATAAAATGTTCTTTTACTGAGAACGTTTCACCACCACCTGTTTTTGTGTTGTTGTTGTTGTTGTTGTTGTTGTTGTTTTAGCGCCACGCCGCAATGTGAAAGTGCCGCCAGCAGACGGCGCTGTCCCCATTTATGCAGCAATTTAACAACAGAGCCCCATATAAAACCCGTTACACAAACAACATCAAAACAGGAAAAGAAAGAGAAAAAAACAAACAAATGCATACACAAAAATAAAACGAACCACATCTGGTGACAGGGAAATGCAAATGAGGGAGGTGGAAGCCAGTTCGTGAACACAGCAAATAGACCGTGTCTGCAACCATAGTTACACATATGATTGCATCTGTAGATCTTCAAAGGATTTATTATTAAAGGTCCAGTATAATGCCTCTTTTCACAAGATGTACAATAAGTCCCTGATGTCCCCAGAATGTGTATGTGAAGTTTCAGCTCAAAATACCCAACAGATCATTTTTGACAGCATGTCTAAATTGTTATTTTTGGGGGGGCTCAGAAAAACGCGCCGTTTTACTGTGGGCCCTTTAAATGCAAATGAGCTGTCGGCACAGGGGGCGGAGCTTCATGAGCTCTCGCCCAGTCTCTCAGGACAAGTTCATCTCACAGCATGATGATAATTTCAGAAACTCTCAGTAACGGTGTTCATTTCGAGTCGGACAATAATGCCTACAGAGTCAGAGTGCTGTATAGAGATGGAACAGGTATAGTTTAGTAGTTTAATTACAGTTATTATAATATAACATATTTGTCATTTACTTGTGTGTATCCAACTGATGAGTTTAATAAAGTTTATTGTACATAACACAAAAGATGAACTGTCAGTTTTGCTTCAGAAAATCACTGTAAGAGCTGAGTAAACACAGTAAGTAATGTGCGCAAGTTGAGGGAGTTGAGAGAGCATTCCTGTGGGCGGATGTGACGATCACAAAAATGTTGAAATTGTACATTAAGTATATTCAAAATTATTTGTGTTATTTTGAAAAAAAGAAACATTCAGAAGGGTTTTATTCTAAATTTGATTCCTTTTAAAAGAAAAAGTGAAAAGTGTGCAATGCTACTCCTGACCGTTAGGGGCAGAGTCGAGCGATAGGTGTTAAGCTGTGCGAGTCGTGAGTTTCTCATTACTCCAGAGACTCCAGCTTGAACTGACACGTCTGTCTCCTCGTTTCTCTCCTGTGTTACAGGTGGGTAAATGTATAAAAACACTTTAAAGTTGAATTTAACCATGCTGAAATGTGTTTAGAATATAAGTGAATTGTTTTAGAGAAGTAGAGGTTGGTTTTGAGTTTGATTTAAGCGAGAGAGAAAAGCTCGACCGATTAGAGGCCTACTGAGAACGCACGTGACATGTAACGTTTGTGAGCGTGTCAGTTAAAAATATACTTTTCCTTGTACAAATGCACATGAAGGTATTTTATAAGCTTTAAAGTTTAATAGGTATCGTTTAATATATTATATATGTGTTTTGAAGAATGATTGATAATGGTTAATGTGTTAAATAAGGTTTAAAATTATATTTGAAATTTATTAATAATTCTGAGAGTGATTTGCAGCAATTTAATACTGGTAAAATACTGTGAATAGAAATGATCAATCATTTAAGAGTAGTAATTGAAGTATATTACTATGGTTTTTGTATTTCTTTTTTGATGAATTGTGTGAAATATAGACCCCTTCAATGTTTGTACATTGACATAAACGTACTGCCCGGACCCGACCTGGACCCGTCTATTATTCGAAAACTGGACCCGAACCCGGCAGGAAGACACAAACCCGACTGAACCCGATTGTGACATTATTTCACACGAGTTGCGAAAAATAAAACTTTTTGTCTTACCTAATTTTAGTAGCCGTCGTCTCGTTACTGACTGACTGATGCATTAATCCACCGACAAGAAAGTTCTATCCATGTTATTTATCTCGTTATTCCAAGCTTAATCCACGCATTATTTCAGCTTTAAAAGTCCACTTGATGTCACGGTGATGGATGACAAATGCAACCTTGCACATGTACATTCTGACTCGAGTTAACTCGCATAATAACTTTAACTGTTTGCCCTTTTGAATAACGATTGTTTGTTGCTTGTTCAGCTTGATCATATCTGTGCTCTCTGCTCTTCATTGAGTCTGAATCTGACCACCAAAACTTTAAGATTAGACAAGACGGTTCATTTATATTATTATAAACATTGGAGAAAATGTAAAGCGCGGTTTGGCGGAAGCTCTGCTTTGGTTGCCATAGAAACATGACACGCGCTTGAGATTGCACTCCGATCGCACGGGTAGCCCGTTCTCAGCGCGTGTTATATTAACGATAACGGGTGCGATAACGATTCAGACGGTTTTATATAGCGATATAAGCGATGACTTTTGTGTGTTAAAAGCGGAGGTTTTACCGAGCCAGCGCCAGGGGAAAAAGACCTCTATGTAGCCTGGGTCGTGATCAACAAGCGGGAAGGCTAGCAGCTAACGTTACATCCATACTGCAAATTGCACCTGCATGGTAGGGTAACGTTAATTATTTATCATATTGGAGACGGATGCACTGTAGACTGATGGTTATATTTCCTTAGAAAACTGTCACGACTAGGCTACTAATCACTTAACTTACCCAGCATTCGTCACCTTTCCTCCAGGATCATTATTGCTAAACTAAACGTGTGTCTGTCATTTCACCAATTATCGCTGAGATGTGTGGAAATCGCGTCAGTGCGTGATGTAAAAAAAAAAAAAAACATAAAAAAACTCATTAAGACACAACACACGGTTAGAACAAGCATGCACAGTGTACATAGCCGATGTAAAAATACATAAAACAAAAATCATAGTAGGCATGTTAGTATTTATCGCAAGTTAGTATTTATCGACGCAACAAGTAGGCATGTTGACGAGAAATTCTCCGGGAGCTGGTTTAAACTATGGTTACAGCACGATGGAATGAACCGCATTTTTTTCTGTGACGTCGACCGTGAAGGGATCTATAGAAATACAGAGTCAGTGAACATGAATGTGAAATTGAGAAGTTTATTCCATTGCAGAGTGTGAATTGACATGAACACTAAAAGTCATTATAATGTTAAGAAGACATTGAAAATGTGATATGTGAAGAATAATGTGACTCTGAGAACCAGGTATTTGTTTAATGAATATATTGTGAATGAATTACTCAAGAGAGCTTGAACTGACACGACTGTCTCCTCGTTTCTCTCCTGTGTTACAGGAGAATAATCTGTCCCTCACGGGTGCCGACATCACGGTACCCGTTACACGGACATTAGTCAAAAAACTGTTCGATTGACATCATTAAAGAAGGTAGTAGAGGGATGTAGTCCAAACGGGATATTAGTTCAATTATGTGGTTTTATTAGACACCATTGTTGGTTCCCAGCATGCTTTGTCTTGTAATTTTACAACATATTAAAATTACATTATAAAATTGTAAAGATCCCAGAAAAAGGTTGTTGTTGGTCAGTTGTTTTTTCTGTTACTGAAAGATAAAAGCAAAACAGCATCAATCCCATGATAGTGCTCCAATGAGAAGCTTTACAACTACTTCACCCCTTGTATCCATTTCTATCTTCACGTGGAGTAGATGGCTTTGCGTACCATTACAAACCCCATGGCTGAGGGGAGCATTCAAAACAAATCTTTTCAAATATTTTCACTACACCAAACATCTTTACAGATCTTACTGAGGTCTCCATTGATTTCAGCTATGCGAATGTATCTATAAAAAACAAAGGTGACACACGGAAATTAAATGAACCCAAAATTAAATATTTATTTATTAAGGGAAGACATAAAATAATTAAGCAAACATCAAAACAGGAAATGAAAGAGAAAAAAATAACATTGATACACACACAAAAAAATTGTTGGAAAATCCTCAGGCGACAACCACATTTTTGATTTGATTCATCACAGGTAACCTACAGAAGCTGAATCGCTTGACTCCACCTTGCAAAAAGAGAAAGAGAACACAAAAACAAGATGAAATGCAAATGAGGGAGGCAGAAGCTAATTCATGAACACACAGCAAATGGACTACATCTGCAACCATAGATATTGATACATATGAATGAATACCTGTAGATCTTCATAGAATTAGTTGACAATTAAACGCAATACAAAAAGACAAAGTCGTTAGATTACGTGACATTAAAAAGTTGCTATAGTTTAAAAACCTGCAATGTTGAGGTCATAGAAACACAAACAGCACATACTCGCCTGTGAAAGGTTTTCCCGATTCCTTTGGGATTTAAAATTATTTTAAAACTCATTGGGTCATATGAAATCTTACACTTGCCTCAACAGTCTCATTCATTCCTCCTCTATAAAAAATACATAAAAAATTGCACTTCCATTAACAGCCTCACTCTTTCCCTTCACCATTAAAATGCAGTAAAAAATACACTTGCCTCGACGGCCTCGCTCACTTGCCTCAACAGCCTCACTCCGTTCCTCCACCATAAAAATATTGTAAAAAATACACTTGCCTCAACAGCCTCAGTCCGTTCCTCCACCATAAAAACAGTAAAAATTGCACCTGCCTCAACAGCCTCACTCTGTTTCTCCACCATAAAAATACTGTAAAAAATACACTTGCCTCAACAGCCTCACTCCGTTCCTCCACCATAAAAACAGTAAAAATTGCACCTGCCTCAACAGCCTCACTCCGTTCCTCCACCATAAAAATACTGTAAAAAATACACTTGCCTCAACAGCCTCACTCCGTTCCTCCACCATAAAAACAGTAAAAATTGCACCTGCCTCAACAGCCTCACTCCGTTTCTCCACCATAAAAATACTGTAAAAAATACACTTGCCTCAACAGCCTCAGTCAGTTCCTCCACCATAAAAACAGTAAAAATTGCACCTGCCTCAACAGCCTCACTCCGTTCCTCCACCATAAAAACAGTAAAAATTGCACCTGCCTCAACAGCCTCACTCCGTTCCTCCACCATAAAAATATTGTAAAAAATACACTTGCCTCAACAGCCTCAGTCAGTTCCTCCACCATAAAAACAGTAAAAATTGCACCTGCCTCAACAGCCTCACTCCGTTCCTCCACCATAAAAATACTGTAAAAAATACACTTGCCTCAACAGCCTCACTCAATTCCTCCACCATAAAAACAGTAAAAATTGCACCTGCCTCAACAGCCTCAGTCAGTTCCTCCACCATAAAAACAGTAAAAAATTTCACCTGCCTCAACAGCCTCACTCCGTTCCTCCAACATAAAAACAGTAAAAATTGCACCTACCTCAACAGCCTCAGTCAGTTCCTCCACCATAAAAACAGTAAAAATTGCACCTGCCTCAACAGCCTCACTCCGTTCCTCCACCATAAAAATACTGTAAAAAATACACTTGCCTCAACAGCCTCACTCAATTCCTCCACCACAAAAACAGTAAAAATTGCACGTACCTCAACAGCCTCAGTCAGTTCCTCCACCATAAAAATACAGTAAAAAAAAACTCTTTGCTCAAAAGCCTCACTCAGGCAAGTTGACACTGATCTAAAAATATATATTTTTAATATATTTTTTAGATCTAACAAACGATCTAAAAATATGTTTTAAAACACTTCAGAAGTAACCATGAACAACAACAGAAGTATTATAAATACATTAGTCAAAAAACGCACGAACCCGGTTTTATCTACTGGTCTAAATGTGATCATCCCGGGTGTACTATGTGGTTTCTATGTAAACATAAAATGTAATTTATTCCTATGATCAAAGCTGAATTTGCAGCATCATTACTCCAGTCTTCAGTGTTAATTTTAAAGTGCGTATTCCTCAATAGTTTAAAAGCCCATATATGTACATGAACCTTTGCATATGTAAGTAGCAGACTACATACAAAAATACAAACAATTATTTAAAAAAATTATTAAAAATACAAAACACTGTAATATATCCCCTGTTATATTGCTTTGCTTACATTGTTATACTTAATTTGCATTGGTCATAATTAACAACAATAAAATGGAAAACTGTTCTCATATTTGTTACAACCTGACTCTAGCAGGATCATAATACCGGTAATAATAATTATAGAATTACTACTACCACTATTAATAATAATAATAAATGTATCAATTTTTTTTTGTAACTTAAACCATAAAATAAAGTGCACTTTTTAATATATGAATGAGACCACACATAGAGGAAACACAAATTCCACTTACAGATGTCATAGATCTGGCAGATTCAGTGCAGATGGGATTTCACTTGATCATTGCGCTGCATTCTGACACCTGTTTCAACAATGACAACATACTCAAACACATTATTTCCTTGCTGAATTAGGACATGCATATTTTAGTTTTCTTTAAAAAATATTTTCCTTTTATGAAACTATTTCCATTGTGTTAAATTGTCTGTTTGTAATATTCACCATTCGGACATAGAAGGTCAATGCAACAGGAACAAACGCCCACCATCAGAAAAGCAGTTGCGTAGACGGCAAGTATCAGACTTGGAACTGGAATTTTAAAGACAGACAGTCATTATTACTGGAATGCAACTGATTTTACAGATATACTTTCGACTCTGTTTCGACTATCTGGTGTGTGTGTGTGTGTGTATGTACACGCACTACATACGACTTGTGAAAAGGGGGTATAATGGCCTTTTCACAACACTCAAACTATGTTGTCTTTAATTAATTTTAAATTGTCAACAGGTTCCACACAACTGGATTACGTTAAACAAACATAATTTGTTTATGTAACTTCAACATAATGGAATTATGTAATTTGAAATTACCCAATTTAAGTAGTCTCAACGTGATTTTTTTTAAAGGCTTCCTGACATGATTCAAAGGCATTTTCTTATATTCATTCATCCATTTATATTTCATTTGATTCAGTGACATTTAATTAAATTGATAGACTTTAGCTAGGTATTTGTTAGCAGAAGCACATATTAGCATCTTGAATGCTAAGATTTACATGCTCCTTTATTCAAAGCAATTGAAAATAATGAAATCAGTCGACAGACAAACAAAATGCTCCACTCTTCTCCACAATGGTAACCCACTGTAATTTAAATGGTTTAATAATTCCAATGCAATTTAACACTTTTACACACTATCAAGTTTTCCCCTTTTCTAAATTTCTAAAAAAAAAAAACTAAAAAAAAGCAACAAAAAAAAAGTGCACAACCTCCCTAGTTAATTTTTTGAGTGAAGTTGTAAAATAGGTCTTTGATGTCCCCAGAGTGTGTATGTGAAGTTTCGACTCAAAATACCCCACATTTATTTTTATATGTTAACTTTGTCAGTTTTTGAGTGTGATCAACGCACAATTTTTTGTGTTTGTCCCTTTAAATTCAAGTGTGCTGCTGCTCCCGGCACAGGGAGAACTTTTAGCCTTTTATGTTAAAATTGGAGTCAGACAAAGACTTAAGAAGAAGTCACAATAGTAGACAACATTTCTAAAAGGCTAGTCGAGGAATTTATGTAGCTTATGTGTAGTTATCTTCTAGTCATTGATTAACAGCTTCTGTCATGATAATCTATAAATTGCATTTACGGAAGCAGGGATTATGTAAATTTTAGGGCTTGTGATGTCCGCGAAGAATGTCTGTCATTTGTTGTAGTCCTTAAAAAGAAATTTCTTTCAAAGAAAATATCTCCATTTTGCAACTTTGAGCATTGTAACTTTGCTCAACATTACACACTTACTAAAGTAAGAAAAGTGAAATCATAATCAACCACCCATTAATACACATGCTCGTTGTAAAAATGTGTGACTAGAGGTTTGTTTTGCTGTATCCTCTGTGAGTCTGTGTTCGTCAACATGTTGTATGTATACACTCTAAAAATTGCTGGGTCTTTTTAACCCAAATTTGGGTCAAATATAGACAAACCCAGCCATTGGGTTATATTTTTAACCCAACGGTTGTTTTTGTCCATATTTCAGCCAAATTTGGGTTAAAGCAAGTCAGCAATTTTAGAGTGTAGCGTAAAAAAATACACTTGACGGAAGCTGGTTATTATGGTTTATAAAGTTTTAAACATCAATGTTTTTTCCTTACTAAACCTATCGTGTTACTTCAGAAGGCCTTTATTTACCTTGAACCGGAAGGATTACTTGGATGCACTTATTTTGGCTTCAAAGTCTTGGGTCACATGCTACCATTAAAAGCTTGGAAAAGCCAGAATATATATATATATATATATATATATATATATATATATACACATATCTGAATGTATTCATTTGAAAGAAGATGGTTCTTTAATATGGCTTTAATTATTAGTTGAATTATTAGTTTTATAATTAGTTTTTTAATATTCTTGTAATATGGTTTGTGGGAGTGTAAATCATGGGATATTTTTATTTTTGGGTGAACTCTCGCTTTAATACTTTAATACACTTTAATAACATTGGTAAACATTACGTGATTGTGAGAGTAACAAGGTGAAAATTGTCACTTTGACATGCATGCGAAGCTGGTATGACATTCACTTCACAAAAAGTTTTACAAGTATAAAAAAATGTATTGGGTCGATTTAATAACTGTTTTCAAAAACTGCAAGTGCCTTAACTCACCATTAATGGTCACAGTGACGCTCCTTGTGATGCTGAAACTCTTGCTCTTGTTGATCTTTACTGTATAAAGCCCAGAGTCTGTGGAACTCGCGTCTTTGATGATCAGAGACCATGAACCCCAAAAATCTAGCTCCAGTCTGTCTCTGAATATATCATTACTAACATTACACTCAACATCTGTACAGATATCACTGAGATCTCCAGTGACAAGAGCGATGAGAATGTCATTATAATACCATGTTACGGTTTCATTTTGTAAAATTACACCAGCGTCTAAAATGATAGATCTTCCCTCCATGATGTTCTTTTGTTGTGCAACAGAAAAACCTGAAACACAAACCAACGGATGCTGAAAGGAGTCATTTTTGACCCACACGGTACTCATTTTACACATGCAAGTGTATAACATACAATTTAATTCATTACTAAAATGAGAATATAAGGGTCATTCTACAGAAACATCCACTTTTGGTGTGACAAGATGTCTTAAAATGTATTTCTTTTTCTAACATTTAAACTTGCACCACATTATAAGATTACCCTTTGACTTTATGAATAATCATAAATGACAGTTTAATGATTTTTTTTATATTTTTGTGCATTTATTTAAAGATCGCATGTACCATTTTTTTGTAATTGGTGTTACCTTACTTCTTTGGCAATATTAAATGTTTTTATGAAATATTATTTAAATTTTTTTTCCAGCACATGTAGTCAGAGTTACCAAAAAATGATAACAATGCAACAAATAAGGACATTATGTTTTATTTATTTTAATCAGGTTTGTTAAAGGCATAGTTCACTTTGAAATTAATTGTTGATGTGTTTTATCTTACCTCAAGGGCATCCAAGGTGTCTTTGTTTCCACAGTATTTCCAATTTTGATATTTTTCAGTCAAACCGTTGTTGTCTATCAGTCATACACTGGAGGCTAAGGGGGTCCACCTCAAAGAGCATGCACAGAGAAGTCCAAATTAAACATGATTTAATGACTCGTAAATGTAAGTACACATTGATGGCCTAAGACACGAAACGAGCGGTTTGTGTGAGAAAACAAACAGTATTTATATTGTTTTTACCTCGTGTAATCACAGTGATCTGAATCAGTTGTGCAATGTCCAAATGAAACGAACTGAATCAGTTCAATGTTACGCCGGAAGTGATCGCTTGAGTGTGACGTCACTCAATATTTACACAGAGATTTTGGAAGTTTTACCTTTCACTAAACATATTTAGATATACCGAAATCGTCTTCCATTGCGGTTTTCCGTATATCTAAATATGTTGAGTGAAAGGTAAAACTTCTGAAATCTCTGTATAAACAAAGAGTGACGTAGGTGCGCAAGCGATCACTTCCGGCACATGCGCAGACCGAAGCGCCCGTGCCGTCAGATGATCAGATCATTTTGTCATGGCTATGATTACACGAGGTAAAAATGATATAAATAATGTTTGTTTTCTCACACAAACCGCTCGTTTCGTGTCTTAGGCCATCAATGTGTACTTGCATTTACGAGTCATTAAATCATGTTTAATTTGGACTTCTCTGAGCATGCTTTTTGTTGGACCCCCTTAGCCTCCAGTGTTTGACTGATAGACAACAACAGTTTGACTGAAAAATGTCAAAATTGAAAATACTGTGGAAACAAAGACACCTACATCTTGGATGCCCTTGAGGTAAGATAAAACATAAAAAATTAATTTCAAAGTGAACTATCCCTTTAAAAGTGTGCTTGAATGAGGTTCGTTCATTTGCGCAACCTTGTTTGCTATAACACTGAAAATATTTGAAAACCAGTTAAAATCACGTAGCCTAATGAAGCAATCCTTTAAATGTTAACTTTTGAGAGTAGCAGAATTAAATAGGTGTAAAATTATTATCATGTCACATACTGTATGGCATTGTATTTAATGTGACAGAATAAAAAAAGACGGTAACATCAGTGACACAATGAATCATAAAATCAAATTTCATTATTTCTCAACTATAAATAAACAGATGAGACTAAATTGTCATATAATGTAAATGAATAGCTTTGAGTAAAGTTTATCTATAAATGGGAGTCACTTGTGTTACTGGTGTTATAAGAAAGGTGACACCATCCAGTGACCGTAACACCAGTGACAATTTTCATGAAAAATTCATTTTACAAAATGGCTGCAGCAAGGTATCAAACCACATGTTGTCAATCATGGTATACTAACTAAATTAAGTAGTTTAATCCATTTGTGTTCTAATTTTTTTACAATTACCTATCAATAAATTAGGTCATACCAGTGACCTCAACTAAAAGCTTCGTATGAAATCACGAGATAAATGAGAATATTTCTGATAACTGAAAAGAGACAGAGTGCTTTTATTATGGGCTTTTCTTCATAGAAATTCAGGAAATTGGAAGAAGGAAGTCAAGTGATGTCATCAGTATGATTTTTTACTTCAAAATTAGAGATTTTTGTTTAACGGTAACACCAGTGACACAACTCCAGGGGTCCACTACTTTCATTATAAATGTTATAATATTTATTCTGCATGTCATTTATATAATATATTAGATAGTTATATATACATTATTGTATTTTAAATGGTGTAAATAACTGTTATTGACCTCAAATAAAGCATTTTCCCCTCCGTACATGGCGGTGGTGACGAGCACTTCTGTGGTGTTTGGAATTCTATAATTAATAAAAAATTAGATATTGCCACTTGATGATTCAAGAAGGTGTAATTGTTCAAATAACATATTGTTTAATTTTAAAATGTAAAGAAATTGTAATTCTAAAGTGTTTTTTTAAGTGTAATATTTCTGTAAAGGCTAGGGACAGAAAAATTTAGGCTACATTTTCCGTAGAATGACCCATAAACGACAATCATTTAGAACATTATTTCTTATGATTACAAAATTATTATAACTGTAAATTTACTACATAAATGTCTATATATATAACCTGCCTTCCACCCAACTTACCCTGGACAATAACCTTGAAGATCTTTTCACTGTCGCTGCTGCTGTTAAACTGTAAATGATATTCTCCAGAGTCTGTTTTTCCAATGTCTGTGATGTTCAGAGATCCAGTCTGGTGATCCAGCTTCAGTCTGTCTCTGAATCTCTGTTTACACTGATCATCTGTACAGATCTGACTCTGATCTCCAGTGATTTCAGCAATGACCGCGTTTTTAAAATACCATTTAATGTCTTGTTGGTCTGTTGTAACACCAGTGTATAGAGTGACTGAATCGCGCTGGCTCACTGTCACTACATGTTTACCAACAACAGGAACACCTGAAGACACAGAGTTAATTATAAGCTGAACACAATTATAAAACAGGAAAGTGCAGTGAAAATATTCTTTGCTTGTTTGAAAGAAAGGGAAGCACTTCGAGTTTCAACTCTTCCATTCGTTTTAGAATAAACCAGTCTGGACAGTTTTAATCATATGTTTCATAATTTTAATTTTCCAATGTTGGGAAGCAATTAGATATGATTCTTAAGGGTGTATGTATGCATTGTCAAGTATTTTTTATGTAATGTCTATATGTCTAAATACTGCAACCAAATTGCCTTTAATTATGTAACTCATGAAATCAAATTGCTGAAGAACATCATTATTTACATATTTATGATCTTACTCTCAAACACCTCTTCATACACATCCCCTTCCCACAGAGAGATTATAAATCGTTTTATCAATCCCTGGACCCCGGTGTAAATGAGTTTATTGCTATTTTCCACCATATTAATTAATTTCTTTTTAATTGTTCTGTATCAATGCATTTATCCGATTTATCAGCAATTAAAAGTTGTGGACTGAACAAAGCAATTCAAGTTATATAGAGTATTGCTCTAAAAAAATAATAGTGATTCAGAATAAATGACCAGGATACAATTTTACACACAATTTGTTACAGCAACCTCATTAAATAACAATAAATAAAGAACAAAAATGTAGCTAAATAATAAATGATTACACCTGTACAAAATCAAACAGTGTCGTTTTCACACTTCACACTTTTTGTTTCATTATCATTCAAAAAAGGCATTGTAAGAAATTAATTTTGCACTTACCACTCTTTAACACGCACACTAAGAGCAAAATAAAGATCCCCATTTTACAGTATCACACAGCCCTGATTCTGTGGATATAAAAGCTTTTGTTCATCTAAATGCACAAGTAGAATTGTGTTCTTTATAAATGCAAACCGAAAGTTGTTTTAGTTTGTTGTGGCTTGTTTTGCTGACATTCCTTTCCCAGATAAAATGTCCAGGCAGCGGGTTATGCAACATTGGTATTTTTACTAGAATCAGACATTTTCTTTCTAAACCTAAAGTTATGATAAGGGATAGTTAAACCAAAAATGAAACCGATATCATTTACTCGGCCTCATGTTGTTCCAAAACCACAACACTTTTGTTCAACTTTAGATCATAGATCAAGATATATTTTAAATGAAATCTGAGCGATTTCAGTCCTTTCACTGACGACCCACACTAGTAGAATTGTAAAATGTGTAGGGCTGAGCAAATATGGGCAGAACTCATTCAAAAAGCCTTTTAAAGGTAAGGTATACATGTGAAGTAAATGTGGCACAATGACATTCATCACAGTATGCTAATGCCTATCTAGTGAAAGGGATTCAATCAAATGTTAATTCTCAGGAGAGTCTTTTGCTTTCTCGCGGGTTAGCCCAGACTTACTGGCACCTGCCTTACATGTGTAACTCTTATTAGAGTATTAGTGGAGTGACTGATAGGGTTAGGTTAGAATACATGTAGGAGCAATGTTACTTACAGTCAGTATAATGTCTGTTGGAGGGCCATCACAATAAAGAGCTTGCAGGTATTCCAATCCAACTTTATTTGTTAAGCACTTTAAAAAACAAAGTTGACCAAAGTGCTTTTACAGAACTATATAATCGCATTTCACTCTTAAAAGAGATTGAACCTTTGGGGTTCAAAAAAGAACTTTAAAGTGCAAAAATGAACTTCTAAATGTAAAAAAGGTTCAAAGTTGAACCTATAGGTTCTTTAATGATCCTCTGATTATTTGGCACATGTTGTCAGTTCATTTTAGAACCTTTGTTGTGGCAGAAGGGTTCATATAAGAACCTGGCCTGTTGTTAAGGTTCCTTTTTGAACCTCATAAGATGGACTGTAAAAGAATGATTGTTTTGTTTTTAGGCCCTTGCTTTGCTAATAGCCCCTGAACATAAAAGAATGGAACTTTTACATTTTTACACATTAAAAGTACTTGATCATTAAAGATGCTCCATAATGTTGTTCACCTATTCGTTTTAAAATACTTTGTAAGCAAAATTACACTCCTACACCCCTGCTTTCAAGTTGATAACATTGATTTTTTATAGAGATGTCAAATTATAATTCAGTAAACATTACTCAAAAAATATTTCTGTAAATTGCAAAGTGACAAACCTTTGCTCTTATTTTTATTTTACAGTTCTCTTTTATTTATTTCTTTTAAGACATGCCTAGTCTATTGAAATGTCAGGCTATTAATTAATTCCTCTTCACACAAAACAATTTTCAGCGGTTCTTCAGTGGTTCTTTATGGTGGTAGAGGTGCTATATAGCACCACTACAATAAAAAGAACCAGTTCAGCCCAGTATGGTTCTATAGTGGTTCTTTGTATAGTCGAGGTGCTATAGTACCTTAACTATTCAAAGAATATTTTAAGGCCCTGTATGGTTCTTTAAAGGTTTTATAAACTCTGTCTTCTCATAGAAATTTAGAAATAATTGAATACAATAGGCCTACAACAATGTATTTCCAGAGGATGACACATTAAAGCAAAATAAATAAATGCAACAGAAAAAAATGGATCTATCCGGAGCTCCCGAGAAGAAAAAAACGTCTTCGTTCATTCAATAAGGGATGGGAGAAAAAAAATCAAAAGAAAAATCAAAGTTATGGTATAAAAATAAAGCATTTTTCATGCAACTCATACAACTACTGTCACGGGGCCGGTGGAGTGTAGGCAGAAGAAGGAGAACAAGAGGCGAATGCTCCAATGCAAACACTTTAATTTAACTCAGAATAGCCAACAGGCACGGGTGCAGGCAGGAAACACTCACGACACGGAAGGGTAACATCAACATTGACCGACCATAACTGAATGCAACAGAGGGAACTAAATACAGGGAGGAATCAAACATAACGATGTGAAGACAGGTGAGACTGATGAACAAGACGAGGAACAGGTGGCTGATGAGGGAGTGAGTTCAGGAGTGGAGACAAGAGGATCCTGGGAAGTGTAGTGCTGATGACAAGACAGGACGGTGCAGACGAAGACTGTGACAACTACACAATGAGTTTTAAATTCACAATTTAAAATTAATAATAAATACTTTAAATTGTCATATATAATGCTAGATGTTTATTTAAATGCCGCGTGCCTTTTAAAGTGTTCTGGTTTTAATGCGCGTGCGCGTAAACATTCAGTCACATTCAGGAGCGCGCGCGATCATCAGATGAAAACAAGGAAACATCAACTGACAAACTGCAAAAAAACTTCTCGCGCTGTTGATTTCGCTGCTTTCAGGTAAGTTTACTTAACATATAATAAATACAAATGTCCCTGACACCTTTCTTATGTGTAATTAATACGCTTCTGTTGAATATTTACTTTATAGAAATGGTTTTGTGTCTTCGAAAAAGTCCGTTAGCATCACAACCGTTTTAAGAAGAGGTAAGTTAAGTTAACGTTGCACTGGACCTCTCGTTTTATATAAGTTTGGGGGTTTTTAACAACATCTTTGTGTTGATAACAGTTTTGGATAGTTTTGTTTTGCTGAAAATTTGTCAATGGGTGATTTGAAGTAAGCTAATTTATTTAACCTAAAATAATTCACTGTAACGTTACTGTTAATCAGTGACATCACTCACAACAAAGGGGGAATTATTTTTTAATCATGATAATAACTCCATATGATTTATTTCACAATATATATATTACCCTAAGATATGTATATATATTAACTGCATTTCATCTCTGCTCAGTACTCTAGCGTGCTTCCTTGTAATAAACCCTATGTTCTATTGTAAATCCTATCCACAAGTTTCCGAGGGGCGCTCCTGTAAAAAATAAAGTGGTATTTTGTGTGTTAGTTAGCAAAGAGGCTAGCTGTTTTTCGGAGAATTATTTTACTATTTAAAGACGCAAATCTTTATGAGAGATGTCGTTACGGAGCTCAGGGACAACATGTGCTGTTCGCGGTTGTATGTATAACCGGACTAAACTAATTCAGTGGCTTAAACGTGATTGTTTTGAACATAAGCTGAAAACGAGTGATCCTGCCAGAGCCCGTCTCTGATCCTGCCAACGACTGTAACGTTAGTTTCACCTCCCAAAAGACGACGAATCTTCCTGTGTACATTTTTTTTTTAATTCTTTATATTCTATAAATTCTATCAGCATGTGATCAGCTGTTCGCTATTGATGTTACAGCTAAACTCAGGATCAAAGCCTGTGTTGACAGAATACCAAATGTGCCAGTAATGTATTCAAGTAGCACATTCATTTATAATTTTGAATAAACTCCAAAGCACAATGACTAAGTGTGTATTTTTTTTATTTTAATTGTTTGTCAGCTCGCACATCTGTCTGTCACCATGCCTTGATGAGTATTGATTATTAATAATGTTATTATAATACTCCCAATCAACTACTGCGGAGGGTAAAGGTACTGTTATTTCACCCTTTTGAATTTCGTTGAGGTTGTGTTCCCACATCGTTAGCTAGATTGGATCGCTATAACTTGAATGACTGTCAACTGTTGAATGAACGAGTGTCAAGCATGTCAAGTTGCGCTTTGTTTACTTCCAACCGGAAGTCGCGCCCACTTTTGACGCAAGGCCTCATGGGGCGTAGGAAACTTGTGGATAACATTGTTGGCTCTTGACACATTGCATGTTATGTTCTAGAAGATCTTGCTGATGGCCTGTTGCACCCCCTGTCCAAGAAAATCTCCACGGCTATGAACTCAACTAGTAAGCAAAACCTCAAACATACAGTGCACTACGGTTCAAAATTTGGGGGTCCGTGGGATTTATGCTTTTGAATGAAGTCTTACACTTTAAAATTATTAACCCCAGTTTTTTTCAGTGAGACTGTCCTTGAGAAACCTGTAGGTTAAATAATCAGCTAATATAATATAATGTTATTATAACATTATAATGTTATAATAGCAAATATAATGGCAAATATAATGTTATAATAGTCATAGTTATAATAATTAATTTAACTATTATGATAACAGGATATCATGGTCATTGGTATATTTTATTTTATTTCTCTAGGTGTGTTTTTAATTATGTTGGCCAATGAGACAGACACCATACTGTCCAACTCAAAGGTATTTATTTATTTTTATGTATTTTTTACTGATTAATACTGATTTTTTTTAATTCAGGGGATCGTAAAGTAATGGCTATGCTCTTGTTACCAGATGAGATATAATCGTTTGGCCCTGTGATTCTTCAGGACAAGATCTTGATCCACATTCAGACATGAAGAAGGTGAGTTTTGCAAAAGCTGCCACTATCACTAATCAAGAGACAAAACACAACAGGCCTTCATCCATATGAACTCACCCATATGTAGGGATGGGTACCGAAACTCGGTGTTAAACATTAAACGGGCCCTGGGGTTCTGTTGTCAAGCCGCCTTCACAAGTCTTCAGTGTGACCAGTTGATGTAAGATTCTGCTGACGTGTGTCTATGTATTCGGGTTCAAATAAATATGGCTGGGCATAAAAATGCAAGTCTTTACCTTAGAAATCCTTAGAACAAAGAATTTTTTGTTTACAGCATGTCTCCCTCAGACTGTAACCGAAGCTCAGGCACACCAGACATACGTCAGCAGCGTCTTACGTCAGGAATGCGGATCCACAACAGAACTGGAAGACAATACAATGCTGAATATAGTCGTAGTTTTTGTTATTTTTGGACCAAAATGTATTTTCGATGCTTCAAAACATTCAAACTAACCCACTGATGTCACATCGACTACGTTGATGATGTCTTTATTTCCCTTCTGGACAAGGACAGTATACCGTACATACATTTACAATGGAGGAACAGAAAGCTCTCAGGTTAAATCTAAAATATCTTAAACTGTGTTCCGAAAATGAACGGATGTCTTACGGGCTTGGGACGACATGAGGGAGAGTCATTAATTACATAATTTTAATTTTTTGGTGAACTAACCCTTTAAGGCTTAATTCTATAAAGTATGTCATTTCCGTGAACGAATCGACACTAAATAGAGACTGGGAGTATAAACACACACACCACTGCCACTGCAATTTTTTTATTACAGACGAAAGTTTTGTTAACAGTGTGCAAGTGTGATTGACATAACGTGAGGTCGATTTTTTTATTC